ACTTAAAGTTGAGAGATGCTAAGGTTGTCCCGAGGGGACTCTGGTCTCCTTGTCCGGATCCCGGCAGGAAGAGGAGCGACTCAGGCGCAGCGTCTCACCTCCCTGCTGTAGGGGATCTCGATAGTCAGCAGCACCTCCTCCGGACGTAGCAGGGTCTGTCTGTAGCCGGGGAAGAAAGTGTGGTCCATCCGAACCGTCCTCCTGGTGCCTGTACAGAGGCCAGATGAAGGGGGATCAGTGGGAGAGCGTAGACAATCCAGTAGTGGGTGCTCCATCCTGGTCTCTGATGCACACAGTCAGAGGGAGTGGCTGGCACAATGGAGGCCAAGGTCCTCCATCTGAGGTCTTTAAGCAATGGTATCTGACAAATGTTTAATAATCAATTCTTTGGGGGGAAAAAGAGAAAACCGTGATTGTAGTATTTGCTAGTTTCTGTGGTATAAATACTCCCACCATACTAATTTCAAGCTACCAGAGTGATGTCACTGACTGTGAAGCCAGAAAGAGGGTAGCAAAGGGTTGACACAGCAGGCTGGTATCCTCTGAGAGGCCTGCTTACAAGGTCAGCCATTGCTGTCCTCTGGGAACTAGGATCCAGGAGGGCTCCCACCATTCCCTGATAAGAAGGATGCACTCTGCCTGAACTGTTTGCACAGACAGGATGGTTTATGCTGAACATGTGCTTTCCTTCTGGAGTCTGGATTTTTGGTGTGTGCCGGGCAGAGCCATGTGACCAGCCCTCAATAAAGCCCTAGATGCTGAGTCTCCAATGAGCTTGCCTGGTAGACAGGACTTCACTTATGCTGTCACAACTCAGCTTGTCTCTGGGCGAAATAAGTGTGCCCTGTCCGACTCCACTGGAGAAGACTTTGGAAGCTGGTGCCTGGTTTCCTCTGGACTTTGCCCCATGCACTTGTTCCCTTTGCTGATTTTGCTTTGTATCCTCCCACTGTAATAAGTCGTAGCCATCAGTACAACTCTGTGCTGAGTCCTGTGAGTCCTCACGGCAAGTCATCAAACCTGGGGGAGGTCTTGGGGACCCTCCAACAAGGAAAGGGGCACAGTAGCGTACCACTATCTGGCGTTTCCACTCTGCAGGTACAATAGATGGGAATAACCTCAAGACCACAGACATAGTAAAATGAAGAAGAATAATCAGGAAGCGGTAAATTTTGTGTGTTTATTACCTTTGTTTTTAATATAATTTATCTTATGAGTTTATATAATTTAATTTTTAACAATGGCCAAATTTAACAAACACCCACAGGCTCCTGAAAATCCTGCCATCAGCTGTGGTGAGCCTGCGCATTCTGGCTCCAGCTCACCACTGGGTGAGGCATCAGTGACGGAGCCTGCTGTGAATTCTTGACAAGGAAATGGCCCAGCTCTCCTGGCCCCCAGCCTGGGTCCGTCTCTCTTGCAGCTTCTGGGGATCCTCAGGACAGCTGGGTCATTGAACTTTGGGCTCTGTTTCTCCAGAACATGACCTATCTGGAGAGCCTTTTCTCCCCACGACCCTGTTTCCCGACCCCTGCGTGAGGCAGCTCACCTCTAGACACGATGGTCAGCTTGGCCCCACTGGCCATGAACACGGGGTTGAGGTCGGAGATGGGGCTGGCGGTGATGATGTTCCCTCCGATGGACTAGGACAAGCAGAGACCATGTGTGAGAGCCCAGCCAGGAAAGCCTGGCTCACCCCACTGGTTCCCAAACACAGGATGGGAGGTGACACCTGCAGATGGAAAGCCCTGAGGACTTCCAGCCCCTGTAGACACAAGACTGGCGCCATGAGAACTCGCGCATTCAGAACAACGTGCAAAACTCAAGATCTGAATGCTCGGGCGTGGGTCCCAGCTCTGCAATCCCCAGTCGGCAAACCCCTTCAGATTTGTTTGTTTGGCTTCAGCCAACCTTCTTCTGAGAAGGTTGAGGTGGTTTATCACTGAGGCCATGGAGAGTCAGGAAAATAGAAATATAAGATAAAGATCAAGGAAAATGCAGAGGAAGCCCTAGGGATGAACAATCTGCTCCAAGTGGATCTGAGCTTCCTGGCAACTTGGCAAAGAATCAAGCACAATGTTCTCCTTGTTAGAAAAGAGGAAGAAAACCAGTTGCACAACGAAAGCAAATCCTTCCTGGAAGCGGATTCCAGCTGTGCTGGGGACGCAGAGGGCTTTCTGAGTCTCTTTCTTCATCCACAAGTGGCCGTGGCCGGTGCTTGGGGCGGCGTGCAGGAAATGGGAGTAGCTGTTTTGCTTTATTTGGGTTTTTATTTTAATTTAAAACACAGTAAAAAATAAAACAGAAGGGATAGCTCTCCTCGCAGGGCCTCAAACGGCCCCGGGGGTGTGAACACCATTTGCAAACTGGGAACTTGGGGGTCAGTCTGAAGGCTGATTGTGAACAGTCACCAGGTGGGCCCCTCCCTCCTCTCAGGGGTCTCCCTCTGGTTCTCCTCCGACTCTGAAAGGAAGTCCCGCTCCCTATTTGGCTGCTCCCTAACTTCTCTCATCCACCTGCTGACAGCCTCGGCCAAGTCCAGGAAGAGATGGGCAGGCGGCACCATCTCTCCAACCTCAGGGGTCAAGACTGAGCCCCAGAGCGAGTGTTTCCCGGAGTGGTCCGCAGTCCGCCTTCATCAGAAGCGCCAGCGGGCTCCATCCAGCCCTACCAAGTCAGAATCTCTGAGGGCGGGGCCCGGGAATCTGCGTTTTTAACAAGCACCCCAGATGGTTCTAAACATTAAAGTTTGAGGCCCACTGGGTCTGCAGCAGAGGGCAGACTAGCTCCCCAGCCTTGTGAGGAAAGGCCCCGTCCCCTGGGCCTTGTGGGACCCTCAACAGGGACTCACCGCCACAGCCTTGACCTGCCTCCCAGCAAACCAGCGCAGCTGCTCCAGGACGCCTCTGAACACCTCTGTTCTGTGGGCAGGAAGCTCTGCAACTGCATCGAGCAGGGTCTTTTCCACACAGCTCAGGGGGCAAGCGGCTCCAAAGGAGATACCTGGGAACACAGGCTCAGAATAACAGCGATCCCCTTCTCAGCTCGGAAAACACTTGCACACACAGTTCATATCATGCTTTACAGCTACCAAAGTGAGGCCAAACCAGGACTCACATCCCTATATGGATAAAGACATTAAGGCCCAGAGAAGTTAAGTGATTTGCCCAATGCCACACAGCCAATAAAAGAGCCAGGACTCAACCCCAGGTCTCTTGATTCTACAATCAGAGTGCTCTTTTCCATAAATCAATGGCTCTCAACTCAATAAAATCAGATCTCTGACAGCTAAGTCCTGGCATTCTTTTTAAAAAGCACCCAAGTACTCACCCCACCTACGCCCTACCCACATGTGAGATTCTAACGTGTAGCCGGGATTGAAAACAACTATTGAAAATCTCACAGCCCTTGGGGCTGACACCCTACCACGGATGCTCAGTGGAGGAAGGCAGTGAAGGGGTGCGCCCTGTCCCCTGTGCAGGGTGGCTTCAGGAGCAGCAGGGGCCACAAGACCAAAGGGAGGCTTTCCTGGCATCCCTCACCCCATGTAACCGGTTCCCAGCATCCCAGCCCCTCTGTGGGCTCAGGTGAACCTCCCCTTACCCTCGGCTCTGTGCTCCACTGAATTCAGCTCAGGGATCCAGGCTGGGCAAATGATCACAGGAAACAGCCTGTTCTTAAACTTCATCTCGATGCCTGGAGGGGAACGGGAAGCCTGAAGTTACAGGCTCGTCCTTTATCGCCAGGACAAGCCTCGGCACTTTTTCCGTCACTGCACACGGGATGTATGACATATGCACAGTCGGGACATGTTCTGCGGGCGTCTCAAGATTCGGAGGGCAGTGGACAAGATGGGGGATCAGTGTGTGTGTGTGAGTGTGTGGGTGTGGTGTTTTTGTGTGTGTCTAACAACAATATTAGAAAACACAGAATATCAAAGTACGTCAGGAACCTTCCAAGCACTTGACACATTTTGACTCATTTAATCCTCACAGCAGCCCTATGTGATACTATGATTTTCTCTATTTATAGATGAAGAAACTGAGGCACAGGGAGGTTAAGTTTCTTGCCCAAA